GTGGAGCCGTGGAGGGGAGAAGCATTTTTTTGTGAGTGTGGTAGAGTAGACGAGGCGGGAAAGCGCGAGGATGAAGGGGCTTGTTCGGATTCGACTTTTTCGTATTGGTCCCTTACATCGTTTATATTTGGACATTAGTCTGTCAAATCATCAAAGTTGCGATTAGGTCCCTCAAATCTTAAGCTATTTTTGATTTAGCCATCAAATCATTGAAATTGCCACTAGATCCCCCAATTCTCAAGATATTTATAAATTAGAATCTCTAATCAAGAGCATAAAATATCAATTAGAGTGATTAATTTGAAAGAAACTTGTGAGAATTTAGGGACATGATAGTCTAACAATAGATTCTACTTTGTTATCCCTCAAGTTGCTGCTTCTCCTCTTGACTGACGGAGGGACTAATTTAGAAATAACTTAAGAATTCTCAGAAACCTGATTGCAGTTTCAAAGATTATTTGAGAGAGCAATTCCAAAATAACTAAAGATTTGAGGGATATGATATCAATTTCAATCTTTTGAGGGGCTAATTTCGAAATGTGAAGGATGTAAGGGATTCATATCACAAAGTTTGAGAAAATCAGACTGTACCCATTGTTTGGACCTGCATTGTTTATCCCCGGCCCCTTCTTTTTCCGTTTTGGTAAATGAACGTATTTTCATTAACCAAATGTGCAGTGTGTGTACGATACAAAATCCCCAGGCATACCTTAGATAACATCAATCATCGAAGATCATGTAAAGCAAAATCCTAACATCTCAATGATAATACTTATATACACTATGCAAAGGAATTCTAGACTTTGGAAAACTCCGGTCACAACCTAGCCTCTCTCCTGATGTTAGCCACCGGGCTACTCACTGTTAAAGACTTCTGAACAAAATGTCTTCTGTTTTTTACGGACCAAAGAGATGAAGAGAACACAGTTAAAAAAAAAAAAAAAAAAATCAATGGTCCCCATTCTCATCAAAAGAGATGAAGAGAACACAGTTAAAAAAAAAAAAAAAAAAATCAATGGTCCCCATTCTCATCAATCTAGCCTGACTGAAAAGCCTCCACCTTTGCTGCAAGCCATTCAATATTCAAGCCATGTTTGGGTACGGTTAAAGGCCCCAAAATAAGAGAGGACCATGAAGCAGTATAGTTGTGATCATAGAGCATATTATAGGCAAGAGACACTTTAGATTTGTTGTTAAGTAAGCACTAAGAGAGATTAAGCTTAAAAGCATCAACGGAGCCCCATTTACTCAACAACTCAGGACTTGCTTCCATTTCCACGCATATCAGTAGATTTAGCTTGCACGTGCCGTGAATCATGAGATTCAAGATATCTTCATAACTATAAAAAACAAGGGTTTTTCCTCGCATTAGTCCCTTAATTCTTTAGAACTTTGAAATTTGTCCTCAAAGCATTGAAATTATTTAGGTCCTCGATTCTTAAGTTATTTTGTAATTAGTCCCTTAAATCATTGAAATTGCTATTAACTCTCTCAATTCTAAAGTTATTTTGAAATTAGTTCCTTCAATCAAGAGTGAGAGTAGCAATTAGAGGATTAATTAATTTGAAGCATAGAACTGGATACCTAACAGCAATTTCAATGTTTAGAGAGACTAATTTCAATATAGTAAAGATTTAAGGGACTAATATTGGAAAACCCTAAAAAACAATAGAGATATTTGGAACCAAATCTTTCAACCTTGAAATCTCATTTTGGTAATTTATGTGAAAAATATATTTTATGTAGAGGTTTTATTTATCTAAAGGGTCTAAAAGTGAAAAAAAGAGAACTTTAAAGTGTTTATTTGTCCATGCTTGAAAAGGAGACAATTTGCTCATGGTTAATGTGAAAAAGTGGCTTATTATATTTATTTTGCAATATTTCTAGAGAGAATTCTACCTAATCTATTAATAAAAAGATTATCAGTAAACTTGTGAATGTATTTCTTTTTGGGTAATAATTGTAATAATGGTTTGCAGCAATATGGGCAACTGAGGATCTCTTATATATGTAATTTCATTAATAATGTTAATACCTTTCCCATCCTTAGAGTTAATCAGCTACAAAACACCTTAAAGATGGAAAATTACATCTGTATGCTGAACAACAAAGACAAACAAATTATATATGTGTATATAAATATTGCTTTGGTACTGAGAGTGGTCAGATCCATGCTACATATACATTATACATACGAACTTTTATGGAAAATACACATATGGCTACATGTTTAGAGTGATGATTCACTTCCTTTCATTGAGTCAAAAAAGGTAGCCAATGAACCAACTCCTATTATGTAATTACATCTCATATAAACTACACATGTACTAGGTTTAGACTAAAGTGCAATCATTATGCCTGGGTCCTTCCAGTCCTCTAATATATCATCAAACTTTGATAACCTAACAAGAGTTAAATTAAGTGTATAGCATCATGAGCAGTCAGCCTATAGCCGAGTGATCTTATCAGGGTGACCGCTCATGATGTTATATCCACCGTTAATAATGGACTCCGGTGATCTCTTATCGGAATCCCCCACCAAAGGTTGGAGCCCAGTAGTCAGCGCCATTGTCGCTGCCAACGTGCAAAGTGAAGGACACAGGAACAAGGCATAGTCCCCTACTCCTCAGGTCCTTCTTTGGCTCGAGATCAGTATCATTATCCTGTAATTATAACAAGAAAAATGAGTTTTTCTTTATGCCAAAATATATTATATTCGCGTAAACCTCCGATGACTTACTTTTTTGTGTTCAAGTTAGAGGAAAATTAAACTTTTTTTAAGCCAGGAGAAAAAAGTCACTTATTGTCAGCTGATTCCCATGTGACATCTAAATTAAACGGGAGAAATAATACCGTCTAGATTTCCAACGGGTATAAGTGTTTTTTTTGGTCAATGAAAAATTTTATTCATTTCCCAATTGTGAAAATCTGTACATATCAAAATACTCAATACTATGGACTGAGATTACAAGAACAAAATGAGATTACATGTATTAGAAATACAGCTAGAACTTTTATATTGTCACGGGTATAAGTGTTGATAAAGAACTTTTGGGCTAATTGTTAAATATATTGACAGTTATTTAATTTGTTCCTTCTTTGAGACCTTCATTGTTAGGTTTTCTAATCTGTATATAAATTCTTGTATACAAGAGTATTAATTCATCAATCAAGTTAACGTACTTTCTCCTCAATATTCCTGCTCAATTTAACATGGGCTAAATCATGACTACATTCTCATAGTAGAAGGGGATGTATTTGGAATTAACTCTAGATTTCTGGATTTGGCATAATTTTTTTTTGATCGAAAAACAGGGGCGGATTTGGCATAATTTAAATGGACTTATATTTTATACCTCAGATATCCCTCTTCTCTTCATGCAATTGTCATTCAGCAGCTGCACAAGGAATCATCATCATATTTGTAAAGGGATTAATACAGTCATAATTGTTAATGACTACTTATCAGCAAAGGACTTTGTAACATGCTTTTTGAAAGATACCCAAAAGGCTGTAAAGTTCGAACTTTGTTCCTTTAGCTAACTTTTTTTTAAGAGTCTAAAAGGGAGAAGTAATTAAATTAAGAATTAAGGCTTTCTCATTAGAATGAGGCATGTACCTGGCCTGGGTCTTCTGGAAATATGCAATTCCTCTCTCCATTTGCCTGAAAAGACCAATTATATATTCTTATGATCACCTTATTGTAACACTAAAACTAGGAGTCTCCTATGAGTGACATACAAAGACAACAGAGAAGTTGGTTTGCATTTAACTAACTATAAGTAGGCATGAGACTTATCATCACAGTTCACCAATTGGCATTTTTGACTTTCAAGAAAAAGGAAGTCATGAGCTTGAAAATGAAACTAGCTAGACCTAACTCAAGAAAAAATATGTTACAGAACTTGGTTAGTTTTATAGATACTTCTAAACCTAATATCATGAAACCTCTAGTGTAATTGTAGAGAGAAAAGGGTTATAATTAAATTGCTGATAGACCCCCAGTATTATCGCTCAACTGCGGATCTAGATACCTTGTACTTCTAATATTGTTGTGGATAGATCCCCTAGAGTGTCGATCATATCAGAAAGCCCACACTGTGCGTGACATTCTGAACCGCACATATGTGAAATAGGGGGTAGTGTGGGTATTCCACTCCCCCCCAAAAAACCTATTGCAACACCCCATGTGGTCGGGATGTTCTGATAGGATTTGCACTCAACCCCGTATAGTTCTTTTGCTACACGACAACCAATGTACTTTATTCATATTAAAATTGCATTTAATTTGTAACCATGAACGTAAATTGATGCATTCTCGTGATAATTAATTTTGCATATTCTAAAAAAGCATACTGTAGTACTATTGACGCCTCTGCTGACCCTGTAGATCCCTTTTTATGATACGCAATGCTGGGTTTATGATTATACCATGTGCCCTTTGGTCTTGTGCGTTTGTTTGCTTGTATTTGTGTATGAGAGAGAGAGAGAGAGAGAGAGAGAGAGAGAGAGAGAGAGAGAGAGAGAGAGAGAGAATNNNNGAGAGACTACTTACTGCAGCAGGCTTCATGTTCACGATGCCAGTAGAAGATGCCAAGTACGGGGAGCTCAGAGCCTGGATCAATTCATAAAGAGATATATGAATTGAGTAGTACTGAATGAACCAGAGAATAATCAACTAAACACATGACAATACAAGCCACCAAATAACTAAAAGATGCTAAAAAAAATTATCATCCACTGTTCCCATCTGAACTAGCTTTTACTGCGTGCTCTCACTTTCTCTGTTTTTCTCTTGCATTAACCTCAAAAGTATACAGGAAAAGAGTGAAACAAAGCTTAGACCTCAATTTGACTTTGCAGGAATCTGATATAGCCAATGGCTTCCAACAGCACAGATGCTGTGTCAGTCTGCAAAAATGGGCAAAGAAATAATATTAGACAACCATGATAAAAGCTTAAAACTTTTTTTAAGTAAAAATAGGGCAAAGGCCTTATTCAATATAGCAACGATTAGCTTATTAAAGCTTATAACTTGGAAATTATATAATGTGCTAATACCTTTCCAAATGGGGAGACTAGCTGATGCAGTGCTGTGATCCTATCTCCTAATTTCTCCTTCCTCACCTGGATTGATCATTAAATAAAAATTAATAACTTTCTCAATTAGTACTAGTTATCTAAATCATCCAATCTTTTCATATTATTTTTCATGCAGCAGATAACAATAACACACATGTTTACAGATAATGGGAGTAAGAAAAGAGTTAATTATGAACATAGAGTACTGTTGTTAATTAAGGTTTCCACCAAACAGTTTACCTTTGAAAAAGAAAAAGATATAGAAGTTCACCTTGAAAGTAGATTGAGCTGAGGAGGCTTGAACCCTAGCCTTTTTGTATGGGGAACCTGTGGATGTGCTGTTGCACTGGAAGACAAAAGAGGAAAGAAAAATTCAGAAAACTAAGTAGGTCTTTAATGGCTCGTTAAATATGAAGTCATGTACATGTACTAATTGCCCTCAAACTGAACTAAAATTATATGATATCATATAAACCCAATTCACTTAAAAAATTAAGGGAGGAAAAACGAAGTAGGTAGCTTTAAGAATATGATCTAGATTCATTAATATATTAAGAGTAAAGTTGAATTAAGTGTTGCACCAACCATGCATCTATGGATCACTATATATATCTACTGCTTGTATATATCAAGTCAACATCCTTTTCAGACAGTAAATAACAAAAAGTGGAAGAAATTAAAAGAACAACTACACTCTTACCTCTTGAGATGAATGTTCAAGCTCCTGTTGTCTTGTGTCTGTCTTGTTATTTGCAAAGTCCAACATACTGCCATTGAAGTTTGTTGTGACACAAGACCTAGGAGAGGAGTTTGGTAGAAATTGACTCCAAGAAGACCTAGGTGTTTGGATTTCTTCCTTAGTTTGGCCGTAGATACATCCTTTGGTGGATAAGTCTTGCTTGACATCAATACATGCACTTGATGGTGGATACATCAAATTGTTTTGCCATTTCTCCACCTTATTATTTTGGAAAGGAGTGAGTAAGCAACATCTATCCTCTTCTACCAAGCCCCCCCTAAAAAGATTAAAATCAATAGTCATAAGTAGACAAATGCTATAGATGCATGCATAAAGTGGTGTGTGTGTGTGTGTGTGTATGAAAGAAATGAACAAACAAAGAAATATTATAAGAAAAATTGTTAACACATAAAAAATTATAGTCATTAATTCAGAAAATTAAAATGATCAAATTCATAAAAGTGCTCATGCTATTTAGATCAGAAGCATATGTACTTATTTGGATAGATAAATGAGAATGTTACTAAAAAAGTAAAATGGTTGTCTTCTATCCATTTTCCTTATGTATGTTGTTTCCTTGCGAGGAATTTCAAACCTCTCTTACAATATTATATTTTTGTGAAGTTAAGCATGTAATACATGATGGACATAATTGATAAAATTAATTAAATGGTAAGATGGATAGATAAATATTTAGAAGGTTATAATTAGAGAGAACAAGGATTGTTGTATGCATTAATTTTGTATTTTACTCTAGAAGAATTTGATGTTCCCTATTAAATAAAATTTATTGGGAAACTAAGCGTGTGTAGAAATATTTAGTAGAATATAAAGAGAAAGAAATATGTGAGAGAGAGAGAGAGAGAGAGAAATATTTAGTAGAATATAAATAGAAAGAAATATGAGAGAGAGAGAGAGAGAGAGAGAGAGAGAGAGAGAGAGATACATCAACAATTGGCTCCATGACTCAGGGGGCTCTTGGTTGTCATGCCAATTGGAGGCCATAGAATGAAGATTAGATGGCTGCAAGAACTGTGGCAAGGAGGAAGAAGATGAGGCAGTTGATGATGATGATGATGATGATGGAGGAAGAAGAGGATATGTTTGTAGTGGATGAGTTGGCCTCATGCTATCCAAGCTCCACAAGCCACCAGGGGCTCCCCCCATCATTTGATGGATTGAATTAGTACTCTCAAAGGCTCCTCTATTCATCTTGATGTCTTAGAGAGTTCTCTTGGACTCTTGTACTGACTTCTTTCTCTTTCTCTCTCCTTTTGCAACCTTTTCTTTCTCTCCAAAGTCAATCAATTAAAGGGATGCTTCTTTTGTTTCTTTAATTTTGGAGAAAGAAAGTGGGGAGAGAGAGTACTGTTTAGAGGAACCTGGGAACATGCTAAGGAGTCTTTTGTTT